CTTCTCTCTATGAGCTTATGTTTGAGTGGGTGTTATGTTAACATAGAATACTTGGTCCATCTTTCGCTTAACTAAAAAAAATTGATAAAAATTTAAATTGAAGTCAACAATTAATTTTAATTATACATTTCATTAGACTTACAACTTTTATCAACTTTTCAACTATATATTTCATCATTTTTTATCAAAATTTACTAAAAAGTTTATTTTTAGCAAAACTACATATGTACTTATCTTATACTATTTGATATAGCTTATGTAAATGGCAACGATCACGTACATATATGTTAAAACATCTAGTTAAGCTATATATACCAAGTTTCGCTTGAGGAGAAGAGATATTATAGAACTAATATTATTGAAGGCTCGAGAAGAGCCAATATGGTATTTAACTGAGGAACAAAATTTAGCGTTGAGAATACTTTGATCATCGTTAAATAAAGGAATTCTACGAAGTTTCAAAGATGCACCTGTAACAGTTACCATCTTGAGACTCTAAAGGCAACATGAATAACCTATATATTCACATCTATCGTCTGGACTCTGGAGAAATGTGTATTAGAAAAGTTATTCATTTTCCTTTTGGTTTGTACCATATCGTATAATTGAAGAATATGTTAAGCTGAACTAGAAATTCAACAACTCGAAAAATGTGAATTGTTTGGTATAACCAGTTAAATCATCCTCGATCAATAATAATGCGAAAAATATTGAGAATTCAAATGTATATCCACTTCAAAACTAGAAGATTCTTCGAATCTAATAAATTCTCATATATTACTACTTATTCTCAAGACAAATTGATGATTATACCATCACTAGCTAAAGTTGAGATAAATTCTACAAAAAGTATACAGGTTATTATATAAACAAGAACATTTACCAAAAGTACAATGATGCAAGAATATGTTCTCATATGCTTTTATCTAGTTTCAAATATTTTGCAAAAGTTAAAAGCTTATGTCTAGATATTTTCTTCAATATGTTAATGTCATTTCTCTCAAAATCATTGGAGACACCTGTTAAATTGAGGGATCATGCTACACTTACAAACTTTTTTTACAAAATCCTTTACTCACTACTCACAATAGGAGATGGGGACCACGAGCCGACTTTTTTAAGGGGCCACTTGTTTGTGAGAGTAAGTAACTCATTTTGTACACATTTTTTTGTACATATATATTTATCCTAAATTGAGAGTTGAATCACAAGAAATCAGGAGGGGAGTAAACTTCTTGCAGTTTCCTGATTTTCCAATATATTTAGCAGAATAGATCTTCAATTCGTGGAATTCGGGCTCAGATTAAACTATGAATCAATATATTAACCAACCAATCAAAACTCCAACTCCACAACTCAATCCACTTATGGTTGCATTCCTTCTTTCTCACCCACAAAGGGACAACAATATGGTGGTGTTTTGCAAGACACAAAGACAAAGAGAAAACAAGGCAAGAACTTGAAGGAGACCACAAAGGAGGCAACCGATTTTTTTCTCTTCTCAAACACAAGCAAAAACACATGGCTTGCATACATGAGGGTTGACGTATATAGCTTTAGATTATATTATCAATTGGGCTAAGGTACAAATGATTGGGCCAAGTCACAAGGAAGCCCTTCTATAAGTGAATTTGGACCAAGATAACATTAAAACTGATTAAGTTGCTGCTAATGGTCCACGTTGTTTTCGGGTCGAGTATATGAATTGATTGATTGATAAATATTTCACTCATCGGCCAATACCTATGAAATATAATCCGAAAATTGTTTGACGTCATTGCCCGGGATTTATTGGATATCAATACCCAACAATACAAATTCTTCAAAAAGAAAAGAAAGAAAATATGTTTTCCATCTACATTAATTTGAATTGAGTACAAAAAGTTAGTTAATTTTAGGCCTGACATTAAAATTCCATACAATTTCAACACGAATAAAACTAGTACACACTTTCAAAAACTTGATACCATAGTATCGTGTGCATTCGACCTATGTCATTGGCTGAAATGAAGTTGCTTCTATCAGAATCAGATACCATTTGTGAGTATATAATTTAGAGTTTAGCTTGAGAATTCCACCATTAACTAAGAGTGTTTACTCCAGCTGATTAACCATATACTTCTATATCTAGAAGTAAAAAACCAATTCGACCAGTTACACAACCCTATGCTTGATTACGTCAAGAAAATATAGATAGTCGACTATAAGAGAAAACGGGAGATAATTGTGGTGGTTACCTCTTCGAAAACCATTGCATATACTGACAAAGCTACGGGCGCATTATAAATACCAGGACATCCACAAGGACACTCATTTTTCTTTTCTCATGAGGAGCCCTATCAGTTCCAAGGAAGAATATATATATATATATTTTTTTTTTTACTTCCACGTGTTTCTGTCATAAATAATAAAATTCGATTCGACTTGATGTGTGACATTTGCTGCAACAAATCCTAAAAAATATTATTTAAATCATAATAAACATTTACAACAAAAAGAAGAGGAAAATATGTGAATTTCTTTCCACTGAAAGTTCTAAGAGTAGAATATAGTATCATATTTGAAGTTTTAGAGTTCAATAATCATCAAGTATTTAACTTGCCATCATCGCAAGACTCGACAAAATTCACAGCTTCAGCAGCAGTTATATGTTCCATCACAACCTTTAATTGTGGAAAGGAAACTTCCAAATTGAGGGAATGAGAACTTCATCGATATACACTTTTTTCTCAATCAAATACATCAACCTCGGGACTTGTAACTTCTCCATGGACCTGCAGATAAAAATTCACATGTATAAGAAGTGGTCTACGACTAATGATGATTTTCCCCAGTTGTGCAATTAAACAGTGGGATTAAAAAATCTATTGATTAGAGTATACAGATGGATATAATTGTTAGAGTACAACGACCCGAATTCTATTTGGCCCGATCTGAGGAGCTGGCAGTGCAACATATATAATGAAACTAAAATTATGGAAAAAAAGAGGGGGGGGGGGGGGTGGGGGGGGTTCCACTTGGAGAGACATTCAGCATAAGGCCAAGAAGCCTTAGGAGACAGCAGATTGGACTGCATGAGATAGATCAGAAAGTCTCGTAGGAGACTAGAGGCATCTGTGATATCAAGAGGCTACAAGAGGTCTAGCAGGCTACACGTATCTACGACAATAGATCGTGAGACTGCGACAGCAGGTCTTAATGGATACAAGAGTTGAAATTGCTATGCATTCCCTGAACTGTCTATAGTGAAGGTAACTGGCTTGAACCCAAAGTTTTTCTCACGTTGTGTTTATTTGTCATCAAATTTTATGTTCTTTACTTTCCAACAATTTATTACAAACTGTTGTATTTAAACATAGGGTTAATTGAATTATATGCTTAATCATCTAAAAACTAATTACAAGTGACGTGTTTGCTTTAATTAGTCAAATATGCACGTAAGGTCAAATTAATTGGTAATCTAGAATGTAAACATGGTAACACTAAAATTTGAATTGGTGATCACAACGCCCGTGAACATTCAAGCGTTACCACAACGTTCTAGGCAAGACTTTTCAAATACAATCTCACTCTCTCATGCAACAGCAGTCCTCCATATAACTTATAAAGCTAGAATGACGTGAAAATCAGAGGGGTGATTTATCCGTTTTAACTTTCCATGCATGCTCCGTTAACTTTCTGTGCAATGTTGTCGCAAAAACTTTATATGCAGCTTCTACCGGCTAGTGACTGGAACTTGTAGAAAGTTTCAGAGAGCATACTACGAACAAAGTTGTGCACATTCGTACTTTTTTCCGCAATTTTTCTATCCATTATTTCAGAAGCAATTTTCATAGAGAGGAAACATTAGCATTACATAAATGTCACACAGAATGTTCAAAAGTTGAGTTCCTTAATGGTCGTAATGAAGGATAAGGAGTAAAAGAGAGGAAAAAATGGAACTTTCTTCTATAAAAAGCAAGGATTTCATGGAAAGCAAGTTTTTGTTGGATGTCTTGTTAAAAAAGAAAACATGACTCTCAAAAGTATAAACATTATCCAAAAACTTTCATATACGTTTGACTAAGCTTAAAAGTTTCATTTAAGTAACTTTACCTCTTTCAAGGCTTAGCTGAACATGCTTGTGTTGCATTTTATTGATGCCATTAAGTGAACAAAGCCAAACATACCACATTGTAAACACTAGTATCATAATGGATTCACTTGCAATTATGATCTCGTGAGGAGTCGTTATCTGTCAAAGAAAGATCCATCAGAGAAGTGAAGTTACTCGTTTTTGGCAAGGCTTTCAAAACAAACACCCGATATGCCAAGCTTCAACTGTTTTGGTGACACGAGGTTACAAATTTGTCATGATTATAGCCCTTCCGAATGACTTGAACCGTGTGCATAATCATTTTTAGAAAAATGTTAAGAAGTGTTTGAAAGAAAAAAAGAAAAATGTTCATCAAAAATAAAGACAAAAGGAAATTAGTATAAATAATATCAATTACAGTGGCACTGGTACAAAGATAACACAACTTTCATGGCATAATTGATCATTAAACACTCAGACGATGCTTATCAAATACTTAACCGATAGGATATTAGTACTAGGAGCCAATGTGCCTACCTAACGAGCCGTGCCCAAGTGATATCAACTTGTTAGAGACAATTGCTTCAAGAAGTTCGCCATCATGAAGATGAAGATGCCAATTGTTACGCTTCATTTCATAGTAGTCAAAAGTCAATATTATTTATTCAAAATCAAAGGTTCGACTAGTCAAAGCCAAGGTCAATTAGGGACTTAGATGAAATTAAATCATTTTATTGGGATTTATTTTACAATTGACAATAATTGAAGGTTTAAGATGGATAAGATATAATTTTGGGGATCTACATATGTAGTATTGAATGATAAGGATTAAATATTAGATTATGTGAGAGTTAGAGGACTTAAATGCAATTATCGGCATGAGTGGATTGCAAGTGGCAAATGCTTAATCATTTACTCAATTTTCTCATTTCATACACACACACACCAACTGAAAACGGGAGAAGGAAGTAGAAAAATCGGGAAAGAAAAAAAAGAAAGAGGGAAGGAAAAAAAGAAAAGAAAAAGAAGGGAGGAGGAAAGAGAAGGAAAACAAGGAAAGGTAGGATTTGTTATTCAAACTTCACTCTTCAATTTCTCTAAATTCTCCAAGAGATATAATATAATTTATGCCTAATTGTTAGGGTTTTGATTTGTTGGTGTAAAGTTCAAATTTAACAGAGATGAGTACAAAATTGAAGCTCTAGTTTCTTGATTCTCTAATTGCCATTTACATTAAGGTAAGAAATACCAATTTTTGGCAAAACTCTTGAATTTTTATTTGAGTTCTTGAATAAGTATAATTAGTGAAAATGATTATGGTGATGATATATTAACTTGAAAGAGTGGATCTATGGGATAAGGTGTAAATTAGATTGTTGCAAGTGGGAATTCAAGTTTCACTAGTTTAGAATAAAGAGTTGTTTTTATGTTTGGGATGTAGGTAATTATGATAATTTAAAGATTAGTTTAGGCTAGAAGGCAGAATTTCTTTCAACTGTGAAGGAAACTAAAGAATATATTCAAAGTGCCGAGAAGTCAAGTTCTAATATTTCATAGTTTAATGTTAAGAGATACTTAGTATGGGAGTTGTTAAATTAATTATTTTACATTATATTTCAGGTGATAATGTGAAAGCTTAACAAGGCTGGTCAATTTGATCAGATTGCTATCCATATATCTATGAGTGGAAATAAAAATTATTTTTCAGAAATAAGTATTTATTCAATTTTTAAGTTACGCATTTTATAAGTTGAGTTGATAGAATGATTTTTTAGAATAAAACGAATTTTATCATCAAATGTTTTAAAAGTTAAATTCAATTCAGTTAAATTATTTCATTGACATATTATTTCAGTATTAAATATTTCAACATATTTAAAGTTATTATTTAAAAACACTAGAATGTACCAAAGTGATTTTACCTTTATCTGCACTAGTGTGAATATGTTTTCACAATGTATGACCAGTTATGGTGATTTTACCCGCTCTGTACTATTGTGAATGTGTTTCCATAGTGTATGACCAGATTATCAGAGGTCTTTGGGCCCCACTCTCGTACACACATAGGTTTTGGGCCTTGTACTAGGGTGATTAGCCTTTGGAGTAGCTCTGCGTACGTAGGACCAGATTATCAGATCATCAGATTCTTAGAGTTGAATGACTTTGCCTTATACATCGAAATTACTCTGTACATGAATAAGACTATTCATTGGGTACCTTTTTGGTGTGATTTTTCAGTATTTCTACGCTTATCAAATTTCAGATTATAGAATTCAGTCTATTCAGTTCTCAGAATAAAGCTTCTAGCTTATAATATTGAGCAACAACAATATTTTATAGATTTTCATGAATATCATATTCTTTATATTTATTATACTTTATAGTTACTTATCTAGAATTAAGAACAAAGAATTTTATGATGCGATCATGCTTAGTATAAAAAATGCTACTAGTTTTCAGATTTTTTCAAAGTTTTAATAGAGTTAGCATTTTCAGAAAAAAATGCATAAATGAAAAAGTATACTTATTTTCAATCTATCAACTCACTGAGTTACAAGCTCATATTTTGTTACCCTTTTCTCTTACCAGATAGTAGCTGAGTAGAGCAATTTTGGAGCCTATCGAACCATCGAATTGAGCCATGCTTCATAGATTGTGTGACATCATTTATTAGATTATACATTATGTGTTCTTTTGGGATACATGTAGTTTAAATCAGAAAAGTTCATTATGGGCTCATTAGATATTTGGTATCTTTAGTATATTTGAATATTGTTGGTTGTAAAGCAAGTAAATGCTGGTTTGTCAACATTTTATTTAAATAGTTTGTATTTTGAGGGATTGACGTACCTTGATTTATATTATAGATACTGATTTGAGGAAAATTGGTAATTGTTCAAGTGGTTTTAGTTCGTATTTCAGGGAAAGCTCTGTCAAAATTTTGTTAAAAATATTTTTCAGTCAAGCAAGTCAATATTACTTTGATGGTGGGACCGACGTTCAGTTGGTATCTACCATCGGCATACAACACGTGTCGAATCCATTCAGGTGATTCGGAACGGGTCGTGACACCAATCATCAGGTTGTTTGATTGAGAGCTCCGATTTGTTCTTGCGACTTTTAAATATTGGTTTTGACGTCCTGTGCTCACAATTCGTAAAATCTTACTGTATAAGGACAAAATTATGAAAGCTTAAAGCACAATTATCAAATTCCTAGCATCAATAAGTTGATAAAAGCATACTGAAATTGACAAGATCTTCCATGCTAAATTATAGGTTGAGTTTCTTACCTCAACAAAAGGATTGTTGACATATTGAATTTTGAACTTACTACATTTGTTGGGGAATGCTACTATGATAGAGGCATTGATGCTCCCTCCAATAGGGGTGCCACATAGGCGCCCTATCATAGGGGCCTGTCGGGACGCGCCCCTGTTCGTTTATTATTCCCCATATTTGTCTGTGCAAGTACTACAAAAACAATGGTCTGTAGTAACATATGAATAATCATTATTTCATATGTATTGGAATACAAGTTAAGCATGAAAATATAGGGAGGCGCAGCAAGAGAACTCCATCGTGATTGGGTCAATCACACATTGTAATTGATATAAAAGTTTAAGCAGTTAAATTAGATCAAATGTATATCATTTAAATATTATTTTCAGCATTCTCCCACATATCTAGACGAGATTAATTTCTTTCCCATTGAAATCTAATGCATGCACAATTCATTTAAATGAGTGATGGCGAGACTTAAACCTTAGATTTTTGCCTGCTCTAATACTATATTGAGGTTTATGGCTTCATCTTAAAAGACCAACATTGTTAAAGGTAAGCTAAGACCTTATATGTTGATTGTTTATTTTATATTTTTTTTGACGTGAGATTTATCTCTTAACACAAGATGGTGGTTCGTCTGAGGATCAATCTTGAAAACCCGAGTACTCATTTTTAGTCTTAATTGGATAGAATTGTTATATTGAAGCATGTCAATGTCAAATAAAATACACGTATGCAATATTTTCCTAATGCACTATTTCTTATTTTCTTATTGTTGATTTTACATTGATGTAGAACTGGCATAAAAAAGTCTGCTAAAAGCATTATTTATTTATAAATTTCTTTATTTTTAATGAGAAGTGAATGCTAGTTTAATATTCATATTTAGATATCATTTTCTCTGGTCTTTAGAAGAAGGGAAGGCATTAGGAGTATTGTTTGACACAGTTGATGAGACAATAATTAATATGACAAAAGAAGGAAGGCGTATAAAATATTTGTCAATAGTTCATCTGATTTAATATACAAATATATTGTAAATGCACTTGAAGAATTGAAACAAACAATAATTATCATAACAATTGATGGGGAGTGTCACCATATACCAACCTTGAAGAAGAGAAGTCAACTTGTCCCTCGTCAATGTTCTAGCTATTTCCAAGGTACATAATTTTGGTCATCTTCATCAGAATTATGTGAATGATGCAAGTACATTTTCTATGCAAATAAGATACCATTGGAAAGTTTATCTAGTAGAAATTCCAACACATTTTATGGATCTCAATTTGGACATTCCTATGGAAAATTATGTTCGTTTTTTCTCGAAATTGGTCAGTTGTCTATTCTACTAAGTAATTGAAAAGCTTTTATCTTTTAATCCTTTTAGAGAGTTCCAAGGAGATTCAATTGTTTCTAGGTCTACATGCACGAATTTATCACTTAGAATTCATCTACCTTAATTTAGTTAGATATTGAAAATGGCAGAAGATGCTTAAGAAATGAATATCGTTAGATGGATGTTTTAGCCTATAAATATTCCTTTAATTGTAGTAAAATTCAGATTTGAAGTGTGTTTTTATATACCGAACATTTGACGTGTTAAGAAGAATGATTTCTTCTTGTTTCTCACTCCTATTTTTGGGTGTATTCTTTAGATTGACGAGTTTGATCTTTAAAACATATCCTATCCTTGGATGGATTCGTTTGACAAGAAAAGTTACATTGATTGTGCATATCTTTGTCGACATTAACTTCGACATTATTGTGAAGTGATAAATTTTTACACATTGATTTTAACAACACTTTAAATAATCAATGTCACAAATTTTGACAATACATGAAGTGTCAAACGTAACATACACCAAGTATGTAAAACTAGTTTAATCCTAATTTCATCCCATGTTTCTGATATCAATGGTAGAGATTTTATTAAAAATGACCAAACTTTTAAATAAAGATGAATTTAGACCTTAGATTTTTTTAATTCACTTGGTGATTTATTTCCTGAATATGTGATCACTTTTTTTTTTTTTTGG